CCCCCCCCGGATGGCAGCCTGCGGCAAGTGCAGCCGGGCTGATGGCCAAGTGCTATGATGTGCCAAGTGTGGGCACTCAGGGCACTCCAAGCCAGGACTGCTTTGCTGTCCTCCATCGAGTTAGACAAGCGAGCGGGGAACCCCTGAGAACTATCTGTCCAGAGTGGGGGTCGGGTCCCTTTAAGCACAGCCCTTGGCTAGCCTGAGACAGAAGCTCCACGCTCTAAATCCTAATCTGATGCCCTGCTGGCACTGCTTCCGGCCAGCCTTAACCTCAGTTCAGGGTCCACTCAATGTGGACATGCTAGTTCGAAGTAGCAAGATGCTAATTCGAACTAGTTTTTAGGTCTAGATACACTAGTTCGAATTAACTAATTCAAATTAAGTTAATTCGAATTAGTGCTCTAGTGTAGACATACCCTCTCTGATTTCAGCTGGACGATTTTATAGTGCAGTTGTGCTTGGAGTACACAGTCCACAGGAAGAGGTGGGGCAGACCCATGCAATAGTTATAGAATAAACAAAATCAAAGATTTGTATCCTAAGTATGATATATCTGTGCTATTTTAAAATTCCATGCTATTTTAACATGATGAGAGCTGCATTTCATATCTGAAAGTGATATTTTGTAAAGGATTGTAATTTTGCATGAAAAGGCCTCAGATATTCCCAGAGATTGGAGAATTGAAATTGCAGCTTCAATTAGTGCTACATCGCTAAGTTTTTTTCTCTCATCTGTAGGTGGAATAGTATTAAATGGTGAAGGAGCAGCTTCAGGTCTTCAGAGTTTCCTGACCAATAAAGGTGAATAACTACCAAATAAGATTCTCATATGAGACAGAGATACAGATTGTTCCTCCCTGGTCTGGTAACATCCATGGGCCAGCATGAACCACAGATGTTCTTGGACCACAGAGCCCAGAAACAGGGAGGTCTGGTGGTGGGGGCAGGAGTGCTATAGGGGGCATCAGCGACTCAACCAAGAACCCAGTGTGTGAGGGGGAGTGGGGAAGGTTGGGCAGAATGGTGGGGAGTCCTGGCCCCAGCGGCTGGGGAGCTTTAGCCTGGCTGTGGAGCTCCAGTCATGACCAGGGAGCTCTGATCCCACCGGTAGCCAGAGAGCTCCAACCCCACCGGCAGCCAGGGAGCTCAGGCCTGGGCTGTGGAGCTCTGGCCCATCCCTCGGCCCCAGCCGCGAAGCCAGGCGGCTGCGGAGCTCTGCCCTAGTCACACCACTCTGACCGTGGTGCTTTGGCCCTGGTAGTAGCAAGAATAGTGGCATCTAGAGAGCCCTGGGGGGCTCGGGCAGCAGCAGGGGCAGGCTGGAGCCCTAGCCCAATGGCAGCAGGAGTCACCAGAGAAGGGACCTTCCCTGGTCCAGCAAATTCTCTCGTTTGGGACCAGTCAGGCCTCAAGGGTGTCAGATCAGTGAGATCCAACCTGCATATTATTGTGCACGAATGTGCTTAGTCATTGGCTTGGAACACTCTGTGAAACACTCTTGTTTCTTCAGTAGCAAGAAAATTACATTATAATCCATAAAAGCAAATAACTTAAACCAGAACTATAGTGAAAAAGCAGGGGTTTGATTTTTTTTTTTGCAAAACAGTATTATCCATAACGATTTTAATGTCTCTTTTAAAGATGGATGGGCTGAAGCTCCTGCTTACAAAGGGTCTTGGCTCCCCACGGACAGAGGCTACTTGGCATCTTACAGAAAGCCGGCTCCCTGTGTGTATTGGCTCCAGCCTCCCCTCCTCACCCTTTGTGCTGCTGCCTCTCTATCACAGGCAACAGCATGGAGGTGGGGGGGGGGAGAGACAAATCTGGTGCTCTTGGAGAGGTTGCTTTTAAACTAGCTCCCCATGGCACCAACTCCTGATCTCCCCGTTGCTGCCTCTGATGCATTTTCTTAGCTACATTGATGATGTTCATGTACTTATGACGTTCAAATCAGAATTTTTCCTTGAATACTTAAAATAGTGACTCCTTAATTTAGCTATAGAAAAAACATTTTTCTCTAAATATTTTACCTTTTTCAAAAATGAAGTGTAATCCCAATTATTTTAAGGGTATTTCATTAATAATAGAACAATATCCAAACATATGTACAACTTGATAATTGTTTGACACATTAAGATACTATTTGGCATTTCAGACACTCTTATAGAATATGTACAGTAAAACTGCATTGGTCCAGCATCTGATGGTCCTGCACCATCAGGAACCTGGAAGTGCTCCGGGCCGCTGGAGCATTGGAGCTGCTCTGCCCCCACCTTCTCTGATTCAGCCGCTGCTGAAACTGACCAGCGTCTGAATTGGGGAAGCCCG